AATCCGCTGCCATCTCTCATCTCAGATCCCTAGATGGAAACAAGGTACATTTTGGAAAGGACTCAGCATTGCAGAGAACAAATGTCTGGGAACTAATTGGTCCTAGAGCTCAAACAGGACCAGAAACCAAGGCAGGAAGAAATTCCTGACAGGGAACAGTTGCCGAGTCTAGACATATTTAAGGCAAGAAACAGAGATCACGAAACAAACCTTCTCCACCCCCATCCCTGAAAGTCACCTGGCAGAGCCAAGGCAGATGTCTCATTCATCAGGATTCCTGGGAAGGTGACTCAGTAACACTCCTCTGCTTACTTTCTTTGGTATTTTACTATCACCCCAACCTGACCATTTCTAATCTTGTGTATTTTTTTTTCTTTTAAATTTTGATTTCAAGGCAATTACAGAGAAAGAGGGAGGGACAGAGACTTCTTCCATCTGCTGATTCACTTCCCAAACGGCTGCAGTAGCTGGGGTCACGGGATGCTGGCATCAACACAGTGGCCACTCAACCTACTTTGCTACAGTGCCGGTCCTATCTTGTGTACTTCTGCAACAAGAAGGACTGTTCGTTCACCCTACTTAAATTCTTCAAAACAATGGAAAGTTCTTTTGATCACCCTTAATTGGTTTTGGGCTACTTGGCTTAGAAAGTAGTGCATGAAGCTAAATCAAACCCAGGAGTTTGGGACCAGAATTTTGGCTGATTAAGATGCTGCTTACTATGCCAGCATCCTATCCCAGAACACCAGTTTGAATCCTGGCTACACTACTTCTTTTTTTCTTTTTTTAAAATATTTTCTTTCTTTTTTATTTTTGCTACCCTACTTCTGATACAGCTTTCTGAGAAGGAAGCATTGTTATGACCATCTGGGGAATGAACCAGTTTGTGGAAGATCTCTGCTACTCTACCTGTCAAATTAACAAATTCTAAAGAAAATAATCTACTGCCTCAAACGAATATAGTTTAAATTTTATTTTATTTTTTATTGCAAAGGTAGATATACAGAGAAGGAGATACAGAGAGAAGATTCTTCCATATGCTAATTCACTCCCCCAAGTGGCTGCAATGGCCAGAGCTGAGCTGATCTGAAGCCAGAAGCCAGGGGTTTCTTCCAGGTCTCCCACATGGGTGCAGCATCCCAAGGCTTTGGGCTGCCCTCAACTGCTTTCCTAGGCCACAAGCAGGAAACTGGAAAGGAAGTGGAGCAGCTGGGAAACAAACCAGTACCAATATGGGATCCCAGTGGATGCAAGGCAAGGATTTAGCTACTATGCTATCAGGCCAGGCCTCAAATTTATATGTTTACAGTTTAGAAAGTAACTTGAAATATATTGTTATTTAATTATTCCTTTTAACAGTCCCAGAGAAAAAGCAATAAACATTTTAATCCTCAAATATATACTATATAAAAATGTGAACTGCAAAATATTTCATATAAATCAACTACTACTGCTCTATGCTTAGAAAGAAGCCAGAGAAGGCACATGACTTACCTAAGGTCACACAGTTAAAACAAATGCCAGGGCTCAAACCAAGATCTCTTGCCCTAACTGCAATACTTCTGTGTCTGGTTTGGTCTTCACATGAGCTAACTTTGCATGGACAGAAACTGCTTGGTGGGTGCAAATTCCAAACCACATGATCAACCCAAAACGATTTCTCATGGGGAACAAGGTAAACAGATATAAATGGTTTAGCAAAACTCATTACCACTCCTGAAAAAATAACTCAGCATCATTAACTGTTTGCAGCACCAAATACCTTTTTAGAAACCCTTTAAGACAAAATATATTAAAGAAGGATAAGTTGTCCATGGACAGAAATGGAAAGGGATGTGGACAGCTACATTATAGACCAACTTTTAGCTACAACTAATTAACACTGAAAGATAAAAAGGAGTTACAAACAGGTCATGCTGTCTATGGACCCAGGAGACACTCTTCAACACAGGGAAAAGGATAAAAGATGGCTGAATACTTGTTCCAAAGTCTATTTGAAGCTGCGACCTCTTGAAATCTATGGTCCTCCATCACGTCACTCTCCCAGGAAAGACACATTACCTAGGACATTTTTTCAAATTGACCTTATTAACAATACTTGACATTAACATGAATGCTGAAACAATATAAAAACGAAGTATTTATCTTGCTGACACATTCACTCATTTCCACATTCAATTCCCAAGTACTTCTTGAGCACTTAGCACATAGACTGTAACACAGGCAAATCACATTTTCTGCTTTCCTGGAATTTGTAGAGAGCATTGCTTTGGAGTGGTTTTTGGAAGTCATACTTCCTAGTTCCCTTACTAGACTATGTGTTCTCTGTGAGTAAGAATTTACAGTACCTTACACTATGGTCTTCACACAATAAACTACTATACCGAAACAGAATCTCTGACCCCAAAGCCTGCAGTATTCCTTTCCATTCAGTATACTATAAGACAAAGAATTACATAAAACCCAGTCTTGAGCCCAGGATGCCACAGGTCCATTTCAATGGCCCTCTAGTTAAAGGAGCAAGATCAGCACAGTTGGCTACAGAGAGTTACAACGAATCTGGCTCCTAGACAGACCCTCTTAGTGGGGAAGAGAGTTATTCAGAGGTTAAGGTGAAAAACGCTCTCACTCTGCAAAGCTTCATGGTCCTGCAGAAGACAACGGTACTTCAACTACAGAAATGACAGGTGAGCCCCAGGATGGTTACACACAAGGTGAAGCAATGTCCTGACTGATGAAGAACGTCTTTATTGCCTCCTAAACCAAGGCAAAATAGGCCTCTCCCTCACTTCAAGAGGACTAGCACACAAACCCAGTTAGATAGGGTGGAGCAACAGAAAGAGCCATGGATTCAGAATCAAAAGACCTGATTTAAGGCCAGCCCGGAAGTCTAGTAGCTAACGTCCTTGCCTTGTAAGCGCCAGGATTCCATATGAATGCCAATTTGCATCCCTTCTGCTCCACTTCCCTTCTAACTTCCTGCTTGTGGCTGGGAAAGCAGTAGAGGATGGCCCAAAGACTAGGGACCCTGTACCCCTACACCCTGGAAACCCAGAACAAGTTCATGGCTTCTGGCTCCTGGCTTCAGATCAGGCCATTGCGGCCACTTGGGAAGTGAACCAGCAGATGGAAGATCTTTCTCTCTGTCTCACCTTCTCTCTGTAAATCTGACTTTCCAATAAAAAATAAATAAATCTTTAAAAAAAAAAAAAGATTCCATTTCGAGTCCAAATTCCATCAGCAGGGCAAGCCAAGGAACCTCTTATAAGCCAGTTTACCCTTGTGTAAAATGGGAATAACCTCTGATGTTTCTCATGAAAATACTGAAAGGTGTCCTATAAAATCACCTAGGAAACCATAACATGCCATACAAATTCCTGAGAGCAGTATCTGTGAGGATCTCTGAACTCCCAGAGGACACCTTTCATCAATCCAGGAATTTATACCTGTCTTCTCCTAGCCTCCCCACACCCAGATTCCAATCTTCATATCCTTGAATTCACAGAAGTAGCTCATCAACTAAACCTTACAAAGTCAAGTGTGCTAAATCCCAAACTCCATGGAGATAAGAAGGGAAGCAGGGTAGCATTTCAACTCTGTCGATATGTCTCAGTCCTCCCCCTTCTAGGGTCACACTGCAGACAGGTTAATAGATGGTGGTGGAAGGGTGCATCAAATCCACATGATCCCTTGAGGGGCTGCCTGTCCATTTGGGAGTTCAGACGCAATACAGAGATTAATATTTGAGAAAGAGAGATTATATGCAATTTAGGCCACAACTCCACAGCCCAATGGAAATTAGCGTGGATAACCAAAGGTTAACTGGACAGGTAAAAAACAGGTAAAAAAATTGCTCCCTGCAATGATTTTTCTTATCTCTGCAATAATACTTTATACAAGCCCAATTTTTTCATTTGCTTCTTCAGTTTTGTAATTTCCCATCTTGCCTATCCTTTTAGGAAATATGCAACACCCATAAAACATAAAACACCCCCCTCAGGATTCTCAAGGAGGGAAGGGCTAGGAGGTGGGAGGGTGAAAAGGCAGATACTCCACAAAGTTGTTCCAATCCTTTGAAGGGAAGAATTATAATCACACTGTAATGTTGCCAGCAATGGGACGAGTAGAGGACCTCGTGGGGGGAGGGGTGTCATGTGCTCTGACTATGAGGGCCAGTGCCTCTGCCCATCAAGTCTAAGAGACCAAAACAATTCCTTCCGGCACTCAGCAGAGGGAAGATCCATTTTGCAGAGTCAAGCTTATTAAGAACGGCTTGGAAGATTAAACCTAGAGCATCAGCCAGTTGGCAGTTCTCAATTTAAACCCCAAGCTGGGAGGGGAGGAAATTCTAAAGTGGCCTAAGCAGTTTGGGGCCAAATGAGCTACTGGTTTTAAAAAAATCCAGACCTTCATAGGTGGCAAAGGCTGTTTTCTGTCCCATCTTAAGAGAACATCCTCCCCATTCTAGACATGGGATCCACCCCTCTGCCAAGCCCCACCATTCCATAACAACCAGCTTGGTAGAGGCCCACGCCCCTGCCAGGCCCTTCCCCCAGCAGCTCCAATACCTAAAGCCGGTCGCCATCCACCACAAGGGGCTCACGTGCCAAAGCCTGTGTCTCCCTCCTACCCCTGGGCTGGCAAGTAGAGACCCAAATCAGCCTCTACCCTGGAAAAGCCAAAAGCCACTGAAACCATTTCCCCCCACCACCACTCCCCTTCCTCTCTCAGAGCGTCCCTGTTTATTGCTTCTATTCAAAAGACACTCGATGAGGGGCTACGTTTTGAACGAGGACACACACAGAAGGAACACAAACACACATGCGGACAGTCCCCGGAGACCAATGCGGCTAGCCCACCATTCCCACACAGAGCCGTTTTCTGCAACCCTTTCACAAAATGCAACGCCCTTCCCCCTCCCAGCCTTCCCTCAGCCAGGCTGAAAAAAAAAAAAAGAAAAAAGAAAAGAAAAAGAAAACCCAAACGCTCAGCACACCTACCTGTCTATGCTCTGGGGCAATCTTACACTCATGGTTTCTCGTTGTCTCCACGGTTCCAGAATCCCGCAGCCTTGGTGTCTTGATTAGGACTGGCCCACTCACAATTTTCAAGACAAGTGAGAGGACGCCTCCCAACTTGAAGACTGAAAAAATGTTTTTTCTTCCAGTTCTCAGGACCCTGGCAACTGAAGCTCCACTCTACTTCTACCAGTTAACATGGTCTGCTTTCTTCCTCCCCACCCCCCACCCCCCTAAAAAAAAAAAAAGAGAGAAAGAAAAAGAGGAAAAACTATGACCTTCTTGGAAACCAAAAACCTCACCGCAAACCTCTTCAAGGTTAGCACTAGGAGCTAAAAAATGAATCACAGAAAGAATGCGCCTTCAAAATATGTCTTCATTGCAACGCACAGATAACTAGCATCCTTTTAATCCAGTTTCCCCAGCTGTCCTTCTGTTGGCAAGGCAGCCTGAAGCTCTGAAGGGGGAAAAAAATAATTTTCTGGTCTTCAATGCTTAAGATGATAACAGCAAATATATTTGAGGCATGGAAGGTAAAAAAAAAAATAAAAAAGAATAAATCCAAAACAGCACTTCAAAAAAAAATCTTCCAGCTGATTTAAACAGTAAAAAAAATAATAATAAATAAAGCCATACAATAGTATGTACACAACAGCACTCCTTCCAAGTCCAGTGCAACCTTGGGACCAAAATTTGTGAATTCACTTTAAAAAAAAAGCTTTTACATGAAAGGTTTTGAAATTCTGAAATGAGCCAATATGCAAATCCCACACAGGAACAACAACAAAAAAATCACAGAACACCTGAAATGCAACGTTTTCTACCTTTAAGATGGTAGCATTAACCACAAACCAAAGCAAATCCCTGAAAATATCCTCTCCCTTTCTTTTGCCTTTAAACTTGCAGGTTCCTCCACTTAGCCCAGCCTGATTCGCAGACCCAGCCTGCGTTCGGCCTTTTTCTGAAAGAAAATTTCCTGAGTTACTTCTGCTGTTTTGCTCCTCCACATCCAGGCTCCGAAAATTTCTGTCGCCTCAGCCTCCATGAAACAGAGATTTCGCTTCCTCCCGTTCCCCCTTCTCCTCTGTCTCTCTCCTCGCTCAGATCTCGCCCGGCCAGAAAAACTGCTCCTTATGATTCGTTTGGATTATTATTGTGGATTGTAGTTCCGAACGGGCTCTTCCTGCAGACCAGCCTCCTGGAAAAATCCGGCCGTCTCGTTGCTCTCGGCCTCCGTGCTGCCTTCCTTTCCGCCCCTCGCCTATTCTCACAGGCAGGAGCCCACCGCGCCTCGCGCAGGACGCCGGCCGGGCCTCCGGCTCCCGGCCCCGCTCGCCCGCTCGCCCGCCCGCCCGCTCGCCCGACCGCCGTGCTCCGGCCTCGGCGGCCGCTCGGGACTCCCGGCTCAGGCGTAGCTGGTGGGAAGGACGACGGCAGGCCGGCACGAGCGGGCGTCCGACTCCCGGCGTCGCGGCCGCGCTCGCCTCCTTCCGGGCCCCTTCCCCCTCGGCTCGCCGCTCGCTCGGGCGCAGGCCCGGCCGGCCGCCCCCTCCCCGCGCTCCCCTCCCTCCTCCTTCCCCGCGAGCCTTTCTCCTTCCCTCGCTTCGGCGGGGGGCGGGGCCGCAGGCTCCTCCTCCTCCTCCTCCTCCTCCTCCTCCTCGTCGCCGCGCCGCCCGCCGGCCTTTCCCCTCACGCTGCGGCGGCCGGGAACGGGAGCGGGAAGCCGGCCGCCCTTCTCCTGCCGGGCCCGGCCGCCGGGGTTGCCGCGGCTGCCGCCCGCCTGCCCGCCTGCCCGCCACTCGCTAGGCCCCACGGTGGCCCTGGCCCCCTGCGACCCTTTTCCGCCGTCCCCTGGGCAGGTTCCCTCCGCGGCACCACAGACGCCGGCCCTGCCCCTCAGCACCGCCTAGCTGGTCTCTGCCGGCTCCGACGGATCCCCGGCTCGGCCTAGTCCTGCCCTGACCCCTGCAAGGAACCCCGCGCGCTCCTTGCCGCCTTTTCTGTCGCTTCCCTTTGTTTTATTTTGTTTGTTTGTTTTGGCCCTTCTCGCGGCGTCGGCGCCCCTCGCCCTTGCCCTGGTGTAGGGTCTTTACCTGTTTGCCCTCACTGACTTCACCTTCTCACCACCTCTCATCACCTCTCCTCTAACCTTATGGTTAAAAAAAAAAAAAAAAAAAGCCTGCCGCCGCCTTTCTCCTGGGTGTTAGGAGCTTGACTGTGGCCCTTGCCGAGGTAACACCCGCTACTGCAGGCAGAGCCTTGATTCTGGGTCGTGTTTCTGCACTACAGAGCTGCGCCGATTGACCTATGAAAACCGACAGAGCAGCCTTCCTAACACAAATCTGTTCGTAACCTGCCTTGTAGAGTCAAAGTCTGTAAAGCTTCCCAAAGTAACAGACCGTAGTCAGAGGGTCTTGAACATTACAGTTACAAATAAAGCCGAAAGAAGACTTCTTAGGACTGGAAATGACCTCTGGGAACTGCCATTATAAAATACTGGCCGTGGTGTGTTTGCCTACGTTCCTTCCTTCCCACCATCTAGACTGTTCTTGAGAATGCGCCTATCTTATGTGCATGTAAATTTACCACTTAGACCTTGGTGAAATTCTGAGAGACCCTCACAGGGTTAGAAGGAGTGGGTATAGAAATAGCTGTAGGAGGGCCCAGCATAGTGGCTCAAATAGCTAATTCTCCCTCTTCAAGCACAGGGATCCCATATTGGCCCAGCTGCCCCACTTCCCATGCAGCTCCCTGCTTGGGGCCTGGGAAAGCAGTTGAGGATGGCCCAAAGCCTTAGGACCTGCACCCATGTGAGAGACCAGGAGGAGGCTCCTGGCTCCTGGCTTCGGATCAGCTTGGCTTTGACTGTTATGGTCATTTGGGGAGTAAACCAGCAAATGGAAGCTCTTTCTCTCTGTCTTGCCTTGTCTTTGTACATCTGCCTTCCCAGTAAAAACAAAATAAAATCTTTGTTAAAAATAGCAAAAGGAAAAAGAAAACTACTAAGTATCTATGACCTTCTATGAGCCAGGAGCTTTCCCTAAATTGCATAAGGTGAGAATCACCAAACCTGCTGCCTGCAGCCCACCTCCAGCAACCCCTAGGAAGCAACTCAAAGACAAAGGTTCTGGCCTGAATTTGAAGCTGCAGTCCAAATTGCTGCTGAATGAGCCCTCTACGGAAGCATTCTCATGAATGTGGTGACTGACCAGTGGTAGCCAAGCCATTTTTTAAAATGTCTTCTTAATAGTTACATGCCCTAATGTGAAAATATGAAAAGGTAGAAATAAAAATGAATTTTTTTTTCAATCATAAGTTACTAATGGCTGTCATAACTAGAAAAGATAACTTGTCAGAGAATAGCACATTCAACTGGAAAAAGTGTGTCCTGGATAGCATCTACTAAATCACGAGACACCAACCATGTGAATGTTTTTAACTGAGATTCAAAAAGTCAACTTGCCTTTTAAGTCAACAATCTAACTGATTGGAAGATGCTGCGTCTTATCATGAGTTGAGACCCATGAGAAACTTCATTTAGATTTTAAAAATAGATCTAGCAGCAGGTATTTGGTGCAGCTGTTAGGACACTGCCCTGGGTTCCCGTCCTGGCTCTGCTTCCTAGGCCAGCTTCCTGCTAATGTGCTGAAGCAGGAGGTGATTGCCCAAGTACTTGGGTCCCTTCCACCAATGTTGGAAACCCAGATTGAGTTTCAGGCTCCTGGCTTCAGCCTGCCCAGCCCTGGCAGTTATGGGCATTTGAGAAATGTACCAGGAGATGGAAGATCCTATTGCTCTGTTGTCTTTAAAACAAACAGCAATCTTTAAAAAAAATTCTTTTTAAATTTTGTGTCCTGTTATTTCAAGTGTGCAGACGAAAGTTTTAAAAGGTGAAAGACATTGCTTATGGTAATGAAAAAGTCACAATATGGAACCATTTCCAGTCATCCATTTAAAAAATGATTTCTCTGTAAAGCATGTGTCTTTAGAAAAGCAGTGGCTTTCTCAACCTTCAGTAGATTGTCACCTGCACTTTGTGGGGGGCAGATTAGGTAGATTTGGGGTTAGTATATGTTAGGCAGCATCCTCTTGACAGCTGTTCCTCAGTGTCCAACACTGAGATAAAAACGTGTATCTCTGTGCTCAGAATCTCACTTTGGACTGTTCCTGGGAATTTGACAAGCTGCAGAATGAAACCTGTCATGGTCCTTCTCCCTGTCTTTCCAAAGGTTTATAAAGTTTGTGGCATTTCACAGGCTTGTTTTCCTCCAGTGGGTGGCATACATTGGGAGGAAAATCAGTGCCAACTATGGTCTGCAAGGGCTACCTCTGGTTCCTGGAAACTTCTTGCACACTGTGTGTGACAGATGATCTCCGACACAGTGACTGAGAGTGTTAGGTCACCAGCATTAGTAAAGCCTAAATAACTAGCTTTGCTATAAATACTAAGATGAGTACATCCGCAAATATTTTCAGTGTGCACGCCAAGGCAACTCCTTACACACCCCGCTTTGAAGACTGTGGGTGTGGCTTCAGCAGGATCAAGTTCCTTGAGGTCAGCTGGCCATTTATGTGAATGGTAAACCCCACTTGAGAAAACAAAATACAGCAATTTATGCTCAAGACAGACTAAAGAATTTGGAGGCAGCTTTTGACCAAGGAGAAGAGTGCTGCTAGAAAAAGATTTCCAAGAACTGGGTTTGTTTGGGACTGTGTCCCTTTCTAGTCTGTTGGATCGTGAGAATTTAGTAAACTTGAGCCTGTGATCAGTAAACTGTAGGATGGGCAGAAAAATCATGATAAATACTGGGAAGTGTCATCCTGAGTCAACATAGTCCTTTTAACTTTCTATAAAACTCGATTTGGGCTGGGCCCGGCAGTGTGGCTTAGCGGCTGGGGTCCTCGCTTAGAACACACGAGGATCCCATTTGGGTGCCAGTTCTAATCCCTGCAGTTCCCTGCTTATGGCCTGGGAAAACAGTCGAGGATGGCCCAAAGCCTTGGGACCCTGCACCCGTGTGGGAGACCCGGAAGAGGCTCTGGACTCCTGGCTTCAGATTGGCTCAGCTCCAGCCGTTGTGGTCACTTGGGGAGTGAATCGTCGGATGGAAGATCTTCCTCTCTGTCTCTCCTCCTCTCTGTATATCTGACTTTGTAATAAAAATAAATGAATCTTTTAAAAAAAGGAGTAATAGAGTCCAGGTTGCAGTCATCACCAGGTTCCATGATGCTATCAAGGGATTAGGCTTGCAAAACACAATTGTCCCTAAAGAGATGATAGTGTTACCATTCATTGGAGACAACTGACTTCTTTATTGGAGATAACTGATTTCTGTGAATCCTTTATCAGTTGGGCAGGTAACACTGAGAGACTTCCTTAAGATATTAAGAAAATTGGTTTTTTTTGTTTGTTTGTTTGTTAAGAATTGTTTATCTGAAAAGCAGAGTTGAAGAAGCTGACCCTATGGCACAGTGGGTATAGTCACCACTGCCTGAAGTGCCAGTATTCCATGTGAGTGCTGGTTTGAGTCCTGACTGCTTAACTTTGATCCACGTCCCTGCTACCATGACTGGGAAAGCAGTGGATGATGGCTCAAGAACTTGGGCATCTGTACCTGTAGGAGGACATTGTGAGCCTGGAAGGTCAGCCAGCACAGGTTTGCAGTTCATTGGACAGTATTTGCATGACAACAACCAAATGGCTACCTTTGGTATAAACAGCATGTAAATGAGAACACCTGGTGGGATATACAAAACAAAAGGAATTCCAATCAAGAGAGGGAAACAGTATGGACTCTCAGTGTATAAAGTCGGATGCCCCTAATAAACTTCGGCTTTGACCATCAGTCAGGGTCCACGCGTGTTATTATCGGCTCCATGCACCAAGTCCGTCGCTGCAGGACAGCGACAAGTGGCGTCTGAACAGGGACTTGAAAGAAGAAGAGAAAGTGCAGCGGAGACCCCCACAGGAAGTGGTGAGTGGGACAATGGGCCAGAACCAGTGTAAGGCACAGTCATTTATCTCTCTTGTGCAGAATTTTTTAGTGAAAAGTGGAGCAAAGATAACTAGGCAGCAATTGCGTTCTTATTTAGAGCTTATTGGTGAATATAATCGTTGGTTTCCAGATGAATGGACACTAGAAACTGGATTTAAGAATTTTACTCAGAAAAATGCTGAAAAGGCCAGAAGGATAGAAGATATTCAAGTTCGTTTTTGGATTATATCAGCTTTAATTAGAGCTGTTATCAAAATTTTAGAAGGGGAATCTGCAAGAAACTCCTTTAAGAGGAGACACCCCCAAAATGTAGCCAAAAAAGAAGTGTTTCATAATACGGACAAGGAAGAAAGAGAAAGGGAACTCTTAAGAGGTCTACCTAACAGGAAAGGATGTTGTAATATGGCTAAAAAAGAAACATCTCATAGCACAGGTGAGGAGGACCATAACCCGACTGCCGAGGGGATTACAAGGAAGGTGAATGCACTTGGAGGCCGAGAACTCTGAGGTCAGTCCTTTCCTATTGAATTTCCCACACGGGATTGAAGCAGCCCAGTTCCCTCGTGATAGGGCCTGGTGACATTGGAACTTCAGCCAGGAGCCCCGGGTGGCACTCAGAGACAAGTGGACTCAGAGGAGGAGCTTGCTCTAGTTCTTACCTAGCTCCAGCCGTGGTTCCCAGCCCTCTCTTACACCGACCATCAGGGTTGCTTGTGAGCCCCAAAATTATTTTAGATACTAGAGACTAATAAAGGTCAGCTAACTGATAATCACCCAACTTGTACCTAACTGATCAGGCTACAGAGAGACATGGATATAGAATATTTGGAACAGTCAGAACAAAGGCCATTAACTTATAATCGCTCAGCCTGTACTTACTGGTCAGGCTCCCTATTTGCTTTTCATGGACTTTACTAGGTTAGGATATAGAGTTTAATTCTTCCTCATTCACTAGGTTGTTGGAGATTTCCCTACTCACCTGCCTAACACTTTTCTATGATTTGGTAGAATTATAAGACTGTTTTGATTATCCTAAATGCATAGAATCTATAAAATCACACTTCAATTATATAAATGGCAAGGCTTAAATTGTAAGTTGGGATTCTCCCCAAAACTTTCATCGACTGTTAATACTAACTGTATAGAAACTATGATGTTAAGTTTATACTCAGTTGTTACATATGATGGATGTTAACTGTTCACTGTCCCTGTGCAACTCTGATTTAGGTTAAATTCAAAAACCTGTTAGCTTGGGAGAAATTATAGCTGTTAATATATATAACATTGTTTCTCCCCATTCTTCTGCTCTTCCAAGAGCATGTTCCCCCAGCTACAAGTTTCAGGCTTAATTTTATAAAACACAGAAGGGGGATTTGTAGGAGGACATTGTGAGCCTGGAAGATCAGCCAGCACAGGTTTGCAGTTCATTGGACAGTATTTGCATGACAACAACCAAATGGCTACCTTTGGTATAAATAGCATGTAAATGAGAACACCTGGTGGGATATACAAAACAAAAGGAATTCCAATCAAGAGAGGGAAACAGTATGGACTCTCAGTGTATAAAGTCGGATGCCCCTAATAAACTTCGGCTTTGACCATCAGTCAGGGTCCACGCATGTTATTATCGGCTCCGTGCACCAAGTCTGTTGCTGCGGGACAGCGACATGTGGGTACATGGGAGACCCAAAAGAAGCCCCTGGCTCCTGGCTTTGGACCAGCCCATTTCTAGCTATTACAGCCATTTGGGGAGTGAACCAGTGAATATAAGATCTCTCTCTCTCTCTCTCTCTCTCTCTCTCTCTGTTTGTAATTCTGCCTTTAAAATAAATATTTTCTGGGGCCTGGCACAGTAGCCTAGCAGCTAAAGTCCTCACCTCGCCTTGAACACTCCAGGATCCCATATAGGCGTTAGTTCTAGTCTCGGCAGCTCCATTTCCTATCCAGCTCCCTGCCTGTGGCCTGGGAAAACAGTCGAGGATGGCCCAAAGCCTTGGGACCCTGCACCCGTGTGGGAGACCCGGAAGAGGCTCTGGACTCCTGGTTTCGGATTGGCTCAGCTCCAGCTGTTGCAGTTGCTTGGGGAATAAATCAACGGACAGAAGATCTTCCTCTATCCTCCTTTCCGTATACCTGACTTTCCAATAACATTCAAATAAATCTTTAAAAATATTTTTTAAAAGGCAGAATTATAAACAGAGCATTCTTCCATCTGCTGATTCACTCCCCAGACAACCTCAACGTCTGTACTGGGCCAGGCTGAAACCAGGAATTTCATCCAAGTTTCCCACATGGATGCAGGTCCCCAAGCACCCAGGCGGGCCATCTTCTTCTGCTTTCCTTTGCACATTAGCATGGAATTTTATTGAAAGTAGAGCAGCCAGGACTCAAACCAGTGCTCAAATGGGATAGCAGTGTTAAAGTGGCAGTTTCGTCTGCTAGGTATGCCACAATACCAGTCTTCTGAGAAAATCTTATGACTTTTTTTCGGTGATTTAGATTTCTCTAGAATGCTTTCGCTAGCCAGACTAACTTCTTGTGAGAAATTTCATTTCATTGTCACTCGGAATGCTGTGTTCATTTGACCTATTGAGCTGCCAACAAAATTTCAATGTGACATAATGTAACACCAAAAATGGATATAGTGCTTACTATGTAACACACTCTTCTAAGCAAATTACTAGTATCAACCACTTGTTCCTCACAAAAGCCTTTTGAGGTAGACATGATTATCATTTCTATTTTCAGAGGCAAAATAGGCCCAGGGCCTCAGGGAAGGGTACTGAGGCAGGCTGGCCTCAGGATCTGTGCTTCACTGTGTCTGTTCTTGTCCCTATGTTGTGAACACATGCCAGGCACAAGGGCTAAGGGTAGATGGTGGTAAGATAAAAAATCAGAGAACCAGGGCTGGCAAGGTTGCTCAACAGGCTAATCCTCCGCCTGCAAGTGGCAGTATGCCTTGTGATAATACCAGTCTGTGTTCTGCCTGCACCACTTCCCATCCAACTCGATATTTATGGCATGGGAAGGCAGTGGAGGATGGCCCCAATACTGGGGACCTTGTGTTTATGTAGCAGACCCAGAAGGAGCTTCTGGCTCCGGTTTAAGATCAGATCAGCTCTGGCCATTTGTGGTCATTTGAGGATTGAATCAGAGGTGAAAGATGTTTCTCTCTGTCTCTCCTTTCTGTAGGTCTGTCTTTCCAATCAAAATAAATAAATCTTTAAGAGAAAGAGTTCATGCATGGGTAGTTTAATGATAGAATTCTCATCTGTCATGTGGGAGGCCTGGTTTAGATTCCTGGCCAATGCAGTACCTTCTTACCTCTTGAAGAATTTTTAAAAAAGTGATGAGTTTAAAAAAAAATAAGTCGAAGAATAGTACCTTGGCAGAACCTTCTCAGAAAGAAGTGCAGGGTATGTTAAAGAGAAATCCTTTAGGGAAGAGCTACAAATACAGTCCATAGATGAACTCCTTTGCTCTCCAGAAAGTTTTTTATCCCATGGTGCAGTGAAGCAGACTTTTCCCTGCTGCTTGAAGCTCTTTATCCTCTCTGAGTGCCTTGAGTTATGTGCCAGCCCTCGCTTCCGTCTCCTGAAGCTCTCAGGGCATTTGAGGGGGCCACAGGGTCACTTCCCAGGGGTGCACTTCAGGCTCCCAAGGTTGGTACCTTGCTGTCTAGAGTTACCTTAGAAACCAACCCTCTCCCATCACACTTCTAGGAGCTGAGACTGACTGAATAACAGGGAAGGTGCCAAGACAAATTGTTAAAGAAAATGTGTGAAAGAAAAACAGTTTTAGACAGAAGGATAGTATTTTGGGAAGTTGGTTGTGGATATGTGTGTGTATTTTTCCTTCCCAAAAAGAAAAAGTTCCCAGCATCTGATGTGAGAAACAGAAAGGCGAGATGACAGGGGAAGATAATTTAAAAAAACAATTTGAAAACTGCTTTAAAAACTGAAAAATGGCCTTTTGAAAAAATGTTGAAGACTTAATTAACATACAGTAAATTATACATATTAAAATGTACCGCTTGATAAGTTCTGACACTTTCATGCATGTGAAACCATTAGCACACTCAAGATTAACTGTATGTTTATTGGGGTTGGTATCGTGGTGTAGCAGATGAAGTTTCCTTATACGCACTGGTTCTGGGTCTGACTGCTCCACTTTCCATCCAGCTCTTTGCTAATGTGCCCGGGAAAGCAGCAGAGGATAGCTCAGGTTCTTGGCCCTATACCCACATGGGAGACCCAGAAGAAACCCCCAGCTCCTGGCTCCTGGCTTCCGATTGGCAGGGCTCCCATTGTTGTGGACATCTGGGGAGTGAACCAGCAGATGAAGGATCTCTATTGCACCTTCTCTCCTCTCTCTATACTTCTTTCAAAAAAAAAAAAAAAAACCTAGTAAATAATATTCTAAAAAAAATATGTATTTACTCCCTGAAAATGTGATTTTTTTGCCTCTTTTCTGGACCCACTCCTCCAGCTTAATCCCCCAGCAGTCACTGACCTGCTTATTGTCTTTTAGATTAGTTTTATCTTTTAGAATTAAAAAAATTGGATGTATAATTTCATTTTATTTTCGTTATTTCATTCCATTCATTTCCATACCTGAGGTAAAGAGTGGGAGACACACAGACAGACAAAGATCTTTCATCCACTGGTTTCTCTCCACACATAACAAGCGACCAGGAAGTTGGAACTTAGTCACTCAATCCAGGGCTGCTACAGGAGTGGGAACAACTCACTGCCTGAGCCAGCCTTGCTGCTTCCCAGGGCGCAGGCGCAGTAGGAGGAAGCTGGCATTGGATGGGGAGCTGAGACTGTCAGGCATCCTGAGATGGGACATGGGCATCCCAAGCAGTGTCTTAACCACTGCGCCAGACACCCACCTGTCTAAGTGAATCACGTACTTGTAGTTTGTACCCTTTCATGTATGGCTTCTTTTGTTTAGCATAATTACTTCAGATAGTTTGAGGGTATTTCAAAAAGTTTATGGAGGTTCGGTTGTCGTGGTTGGTGGGCTGTAACGGAATCAGGATGCTGCAGAATCTGCTGGCTCTTCGTCAGATTACCCAGAGATCCATAAGCACTGCTCCACAGAGGCATTTTGAAAATAAAGTTGCAGAGAAAAAAAACCTGTTTCAGGAGGATAATGGAATTCCAGTGCATCTAAAGGGTGGGGTCGCTGATGCCCTCCTGTATAGAGCCACCATGGTTCTTTTTTTTTTTTTTTTAAAGATTTATTCATTTATTGGAAAGTCAGATACACAGAGAGGAGGAGAGACAGAGAGGAAGATCTTGCATCCGATGATTCACTCCCCAAGTGACTGCAACAGCCGATGCTCTGCCGATCCAAAGCCAGGATCCAGGAACTTCTTCTGGGTATCCCACGTGCGTGCAGGGTCCCAAGGCATTGGGCCATCCTTAACTGCTTTCCCAGGCCACAGGCAGGGAGCTGGATGGGAAGTGGAGCTTCCGGGATTAGAACTGGCGCCCATATGGGATCCCGGTGCGTTCAAGGCGAGGACAATAGCCGCTAGGCCACACCACCGGGCCCAAGCCACCATGGTTCTTACAGTTGGTGGAACAGCATATGTCATATATCAGCTGGCCATGGCTTCATTTCCCAAGAAGCAGGATTGACCTGAGTCATCCCAGAAACCATTCAGTTCAGTTGCGTTCAGCTCTCTATGGACCAGTAGCGTGATAAATAAATGAGCTCTTCTTTGGGAATCAATTAAAAAAAAAAGTTTATGGAAAATGGAATTAAATTTTGGTGCCAAAACTTTTTGAAATCCATGTGTAATTTTCTCAATATAGACACTTTTAATGAATATTTGAAGAATTGTATGCATGGACTTCTTTTTTTTTTTCTTTTTTGCTCCAGGGCTGCCACTCTGGGAGCCACTGGACTTCTGATTTAGGTTCCTACTAATGTTTTTGGGTAAGCAGAGCTGCCAACTCAAATACTTGGGCTCCTGTCACCCACATGGAAGACCAGGATGAAATTCTTAGGCTGGGCCATACCTGGCTATTGTGCTCATTTGGGAAGTGAACCAATGGATGGAAAATATCTCTCTGTTTTTTACTCTGTCTTTGTCACCCTGTCTTTCAAGTAAATTAGTCTTTTAAAATTTTCACCAGTACAAATATTTTTCCCATGAACTTGTTGGGGTGATCTTGGATTTTTTTTTTCATGGAATGATTTTTTATTATTGTTTATTATTATTATTTTATTATAGGTGCTTGGATTTCCCATCCCCCTTCCCAAGGATATCCAATCTTTTGATATCCAAGTTGAAGTTGTTTATTTAATCAACTTCTGATTGCTTATTGCAAGTACATAGAAATAGAGATTTTTTAAAAAGATTTATTTATTTTATTGGGAAGTCAGATATACAGAGAGGAGGAGAGACAGAGAAGAAGATCTTCCATCCGATGGTTCATTCCCCAAGCGGCTGCAATGTCCAGAGCTGAGCCAATCTGAAGCTGGGAGTCAGGAACTTCCTCCAGGTCTCCCAAATGGGTGCAAGGTCCCAAAGCTTTGGGCCGTCTTCAATTGCTTTCCCAGGCCACAAGCAGGGAGCTGGATGGGAAGTGGAGCTGCCGGGATTAGAACCAGCACCCATATGAGATCCCGGTGCGTTCAAGGTGAGGACTTTAGCTGATAGGCCACGCCGCCAGGCCCTAGAGATATTTTTTCATGTTAATCTTCTATTTTGCAACCTTATAAACCCACTTCTTAGTTCAAGTGGGCATTTTGCATATTCCTAATTTCTTTCACCTAGATTTTCATGCTATTTGAGAAGAAAGACAATGTTTCCTTTTAATCTTCATTTTGTTTAATCCTTTAATTTTGTTAGAATTAGTAAAAGCAAATAGTCTTGTCATTTTCTGGTATTACAGAAGTATTTGGTTTTTCTTTTCTTTTTTTTTTTTTAAGATTTATTTTTATTTTGGGCCCGGTGCGGTGGCGCAAGTGGTTAAGGTCCTCGTCTTGCACGCCCGGGATCCCATATGAGTGCCGGTTCTATCCCGGCGGCCCCACTTCCCTTCCAGCTCCCTGCCTGTGGCCTGGGAAAGCAGTCGAGGACGGCCCAAAGCTTTGGGACCCTGCACCCGCGTGGGAGACCCGGAAGAGGCTCCTGGCTTCGGATCGGCATAGCATCGGCTGTTGCGGTCACTTGGGGAGTGAATCTTCCTCTCTGACTCTCCTCTCTGTATATCCACCTTTCCGAAGTGAGGCCACCGGGATTAGAACCGGTGCCCATATGGGATCCCGGGCGTGCAAGGCGAGGACCTTAACCACTGTGCCACCGCGTCGGGTCCAGTATTTGGTTTTTCACCGTTAAATATGATGTAATCTGTAGATTTTTCTTAGAAACTCTTCTATCAGGTTCAGAAACTTCCTTTTAATTCAAGCAATTCAAGTATGCTGGAAGTTATATCAAGAGTAGACCTAGGGCCTGGTGCAATGGCTCAATGGATAAATCCTCACCTTGCAAGTGCCGGGATCCCATAATGAGTACCAGTTCATGTCCTGGCTGCTCCAGTTCCCATCCAGCTCCCTTCTTGTGATTTGGAAATTTATCAGAGGATGATCCAAAGGTTTTGGACCTTTGGATCCGCTCAGCTCCAGCCATTGTGGCCATTTGGGGAGTGAATCAGTGGATAGAAGATCTTTCTCTCTGTCTTTGTTTCTCTCTATAAATTGGATATGCTTTTCAAATAAAATAAATAAATATTTTAAAAAAGAAAAACAGCCAGAGAGAATCAACACGGTGAAATAAGGTAAGGACACGTTTAAACAGAGAAACATTAGCCAGTGTGAAGCAGAGAGGGCATATTCCAGGAAATAGGAGAAAACAGAATGACAGCAGAGGGGCATCTAGAGATTAACATAAATGGGAAAGCAGTGGACACAGCGGTGTGGTGTTGCAATGACCGAAATACCCCAGCTATATTAGTGAGTGGCGATCTGAACTGCACTGTACTGGAACTCCACCAGCAACAAAATGGGAAAGGATATTAACTGGGAGCTCAGGAGGTGAACCCAGACAAAGAACTGCCCGTCCTGCTGGTCTGTTTGATTTGATTAGGAGCAGAGACGGAACAGCAGGTCCCAAACGGGCTGTGCGGGAACAGGATGGATGTCACAGCCTGGTCTGCCCCCAGCACCAAATCAGGTAACATTTGTGTAGGGAAGCAAAGGCTATGGGATAGGACTGCATGCACTGAGCTGGGAGTGAACTCATTTCTGGCTCTGGGAACTGCAACAATGTGGCATCCTACATACAGCTTCCACCCATGATAGGTACTGGTAGCCCTCAGGACTGATGGCCAGCAGATCAAGAAATCTAGCAGTGGCACTTCAGGCACCATTTTGTACGTTTAGCAGAGGCTTTAAGACCATAGGGTCAAAATAGGTCTGCGTGACCTTCAGACCTCATGGCCAACAGGTTCTAGTAAGATCAACACCACCAACCTAGCTATGTAAGATACCTGGTGTCTCCCTAATCCTGAGAACTGCTCCAACCAGAAGTGGGAGAAAGGTTGTACAGACAATCCTGCAGCTTCAGCACAGTATCACAGGAAGTGGAGAGTGGTGAAACAGGAGTTGGGGCTATGGAGACTATGGTAGAAACCTAACATAAGAACTCAGACCTGGATCTCACTGGAAGATGTGGTATAAGTAGCTGCAAACAAAGAGCCATATACCAACTGCAAAAAGTTATACAGAATTGTATATCTGTGGGTGACACAGCTTAGAAACCTGCCCCAAGGAGAAGAATCTAATAACTAGAAGTACAAGACCAAGAACAAAAGAAAAGGCACAATGAATATTACTTAAGACTCCCCTGCAAAGGAGCAAAACCCTTTGCCAACTTCAGAGTTAACTGAGGAAGACATCGAGAAAATGGAAGATACAGAATTGTAAACACTTGTTATAACGCTTCTTATCAACAATGAGAAGCACGTAAAGCAGGCATTCAAGGAATTTAAGGAATAAGTCACACAGGAAATGAATCAAGTGAAAGCTGATATATGAGAAATGAAGAATACAATGGAGCAAATTAAAAGTACAGTGGAAAGTCTCCAAAATAGGATGAATGAAGCAGAAAATAATCTCAGAATTAGAAGATATTTTCTGTTGCCAGGGGGAAAGAAGCAAAAAGCTAGAAGCAGAGCTGGGTCAAGCCAAAAAAGTATTCAAGAATTGAAAGACACTATTAAAAGGCCAAATATAAGAGTCCTGGGAGTCCCAGAAGGTGCAGAAAGATAAGCTGGGATTAAAAATGTATTTAATGAAATAATAAGGGAAAGTTTCTCTAATCTAAAGAAAGAATTGGGAAATAACATCCAGGAGGGGCACAGATCTCCCAGCAGGGTTGACCAAAAGCGATCTTCACCATGACACATGATAATCAAGTTCTCTTCCACCGAACATAAGGGAAAGATCCTTAAATGTGCATGTGAAAAAAATCAATTGACATATAAAGGAATGCCAGGTAATTCACAGGAGACCTCTCACAGGAAACTCTACAGACCAGAAGAGAATGAAGCGACATATTCCAAATTCTCAAAGCAAAAAATAGTCAGGGGCCGGCACGGTAGCCTTGCAGCTAAAGTCCTTGCCTTGCACATGTGAGGATCCCATATGGGTGCTGTTTCTAGTCCTGGCAGCCCCGCTTCCCATCCAGCTCCTAGCTTGTGTCCTGGGAAAACAGTCAGGATGACCCAAAGCCTTGGGACCCTGCACTCACGTGGGAAACTGGAAGAAGCTCCAGCTGTTGCTTGCAGAGCGAATCATCGGGTGGAAGATCTTCCATTCTGTCTCCTCCTCCATGTATATCTGACTTTCCAATTAAAAAAAGAAATTGTTGGCCCAGGGTAATGTACCCAGCAAAGCTTTCCTTGTCTTTGTAAATGAAATAAAATTCTTCCACAATAAAGAAAAATTAAAAGAATATACCTCTTCCAAACCTACCCCACAAATGGTACGTAAAAATGTTACTTTGACAAAGAGGAATAGTACCCCCAACACCAAAGGCAAATGTGAAAAATATCCCATTAAAATAACAGAAGACTAAATTAAGTAATAACCCATTGCTAAAATGATAGGAACAAATAACCAACAATTTATATTAAATGTGAAAGTAAAGGGCTTAAACTCATCAATCAAATGTCATGGATTAAAAAAAAACAAACATTTATTTGTCGCCTACAGGAAACATGTCTCGCCAACAAAAGTCAGCAGAAAACTGTATCTCTGGATTTTGAAATTTTTTTTAGTTTCATCTCTCCAAAACTCTTTCTCATTAAATTCTTCAGTGACTCATAGATCATATGTAGCATCATTTTCTTTAAGAAGATTCTTGGTTTTCTTTTGCATTTCTTCAGCGACACATTAGTCGTACAGTAGCATGTTATTTAACTTCATGTTGTTGTAAATTTCTACTTCTTTCTGTTGTTGATTTTGTTTTGTGGCTTTTGATCTAAGGGGATGTATAGTAACTGCATAATGGAGAGTATCATATCCAGATGTGAGGATACAATGCAGTATGCATCTCTACTTTCAGATCAAAGATGGACTCCCAATGAAACTATTAAGTATATTTTGACAATAGGATGCTGAACTCTCTGCCATTGTCCATGCCCATATTGATGGACATATGACTGTATACGAAGAACTATACTATAGTAATCATTTAGGGGAACTTAGTG